CCTTTTACCATCGCATATATAGGAAAGTTTCCCCAATGATAACTTATTGTTGTAATACTTTTTTTTTAAATACGTAAACCAATTTTTAGGATCCTCGCGTATTAGATAGTATGTTGCCTTACCTGACGAATTACTATGGGAATCCACACTCACGTACTCATGCCTACGGTTGGGAATCTGAGAAAGCAGTCGAAAAGGCAAGAGAACAGGTTGCGCGGTTAATTAATGCAGAACCAAAAGAGATCATTTTCACATCGGGTGCTACAGAATCTAATAATATTGCCGTTAAGGGCGTTGCCAGGTTTTTATCTATATTTTGAGTATTATTACATCAACGTTCTAAATGTCCACTCCGATTATTTAAAAGATTTTACGCGAGTAAAAGAAAACATATAATTACAACGCAGACAGAACACAAATGCGTGCTGGACTCTTGCCGCGCTTTGGAAAATGAAGGATTCAAAGTTACTTACTTACCGGTTAAATCAAATGGTATCATTGATATGAAGCTATTGGAAGAATCTATAACACCATATACGTCGCTAGTTTCAATAATGACAGTAAACAATGAAATCGGTATGACTTACATTATATACCATACGATTTCCGGCTATACAAATGACTAATTTTTCCAGGCGTTAAACAGCCGGTGGCTGATATTGGTGCACTTTGCCGTTCACGGAAAGTATTTTTCCACACGGATGCTGCCCAGGCTGTAGGTAAAATTCTTATCGATGTGAATGCAATGAATATTGATTTGATGTCCATATCTGGACATAAGATTTATGGCCCAAAGGGCATTGGAGCACTTTATGTGCGTCGAAGGCCACGAGTTCGGCTTGAACCTATACAAAGCGGTGGAGGGCAAGAGCGTGGCCTACGTAGTGGAACTGTACCCGCACCGCTAGTTGTTGGATTTGGTTTTGCTTGCGATATAGCTTTAAAGGAAATGGATTACGATAAAAAATGGATAGATTTTCTTTCAAAACGATTATACGACCACATCACTAGCGCTTTGCCTCATGTCATCCGTAACGGTGATCCTGAGCAAACTTATAGCGGTTGTTTAAATTTGTCTTTTGCCTACGTTGAGGGCGAATCGTTATTGATGGCTTTGAAAGATGTTGCTCTGTCAAGTGGTTCAGCATGTACTTCAGCGTCATTGGAGCCTTCATATGTGTTGCGCGCAATCGGTACCGATGAAGACTTAGCACACAGTTCGATAAGGTGAGAAAAAATATGAATATGTATGTATACTAATATCTTCTTCTTTATTGGCTTTATAACCGCCTAAGCGATTTTGGCTGAGTCCACAATAACACGCCAGTTGTTTCTCTTCAGTGCCAACTGACGTCAGTTGGAAATGTCAAGAGAAGCCAAGTCCTTCTCCACCTGGTCTTTCAACGCAGAGGAGGCCTTCCTTTTCCTCAGTTACAGAGCTGAATAGTTTCTGTCCACTCAAATTACATGACCTAGCCAGTGTTGCTGCTGAATTTTAATTTGGTTCACTATGACTAAATCGTTATAAAGCTAATACAACTCATCATTAAATCGTCTGCTATATTGTCCACCGCCAACGCGCAAGGGCCCATAAATCTTTCGCAGAATCTTTCTCTCGAACCCTCGAAGAGCCGCTTTATCAGATGTTTTCATTGTCCATGCCTCCGTGCCATACACCAGCACGGGGATGATTAGTGACTTATACAGTGTAATTTTTGTACGACTAGAGAGGACTATACTTCTCAATTGTATACTCAGCCCAAAGTAGCACTTGTTGGCAAGAGTGATTCTCCGTTGGATTTCAAGGCTGACATTATTATTGGTGTTAAAGCTGGTTCCCAAATAAACGAAGCCGTCTACTTTTCCAAACTTATAACTGTGAATAGTGACGTAGGTACCAAGACGCTTTTGCTCTGACTTCTTGTGTGATGACAAGAGATATTTTATTTTGTCCTCGTTCACCACTAGACCCATTTGCTTTGCTTGTCTATCTAAATCCGAGAAGGCACAAAAGACATAGCCCTTGTTAATATCTACCGCCCTTTAAATGACGTACATATGTACTGTGTATAAAATTTAGTGTGTAATTTAGATACAGCATTTAAATTTTCCAAAAAGATTTGGGGGATGTTGCCGAAGCGGCAGACCTTGGCAAGATACATACATACATGTATGCATTAGAAATGTAAATCCCGGTATCCCGGGATTTTCGGGATTTCTAATTTGCACTGATGGCAATAATAGAAATTCCTTTTCTATATATATATTTCTATATTGCTATAACGGGTCAAAGGTCAGATCTTCGAAAAATTAAAAACTTAATATTTCAGAAAATTTTGAACTGATTTTTAAAAGATTCGTATCGTTGTAAAGGTGATTTAACCCCCTTTCTTGTGATATGCATATTTGTATACTCAGTATATAAAAATTTGAGAAAAAACGCATTTAAAGGAAAAAGTACCTTTTTTTTTGTATAAAAAAAAATATTTTAAACAATAAATTACTAACCGCTTTTTTAAACAAATCATATCGTTATAAAGGCGATTAAACCCCTTTCTTCTGATACGAATATTGGTATACTTCGTGAATAAAAATTTGAGAAAAAAACACTTAAAAGGAAAAAATACTAATTTTTTCTTATAAAAAAAAATTTTACAAAAAAATTACTAATTAGTAATACTGTTGAATACCTTATTTAAATAAACCAAATGAGTAGTAGTGTTTTAGAAGTCTAAGGCATATAAAAATATAAAAACCATGGTTTTTGATTTTTTACTTAACGGGTTATATATAAAAATAAAAGGAAATTTTATGTTTCATTTAAATAAAGTAAAGTATTGTATTACTAATTAGTAATTTTTTTGTTTAAAATATTTTTTTAAAACAAAAATCGGCATATTTTCCTTTTAAATGTTTTTCTCAAATTTTTTATACGAAGTATACAAATATGCATATCAGAAAAAAGAGGTATAATTTACAACGGTATCAATCGTTTAAAAATGAGTTGGTAAGTTTTTTGTTAAAAATATTTTTTTTATAAAAAAAACTTATTTTTTCCTGTAAATGTGGTTTTTCTCAGATTTTTATATACGAAGTATACAAATGTGCATATCAGAAGAAAGGGGGTTCAATCACCTTTACAACGATATAATTTTTTATAAATCAGTTCAAAATTGTTTGAAATATAAGGAATTTAATTTTTCGAAGACCTGAGCTTTGACCCCTTATAGCACCTGAAATATAAGTTTGCATACAAAAAGTTATATACATTTAAATAAGAGCAAAAGAAGGACTACGTCTATATTTTTAGGTTTTTAGTTATCTACATGCAATAATTAAATATAATTTTTTATCAAAGGTACTATTTCGCCCTTCGAAGGCCCATATAACTGGATTTCGGAGGCTAACTTCGAAAAACGGAGAAATCACTTTTTTACCTATGACCCAATCTCTTAAAAAAAATTGGTTTGGTCCAATACCCAGAAAAAATTTTGATATTGCCGTACAGTGTAACTAATATTTTTTATAAATGTTTAGCTCATTATACATACATACAATAACACTGTGCGATTGTAAATTTTACACACAAAAATCAATCAGCCCTATTCTTGCGTTTCGACTCGAATCGATTGGGTCGATTACACTATGCGACAGTCAAAATCGGGATGGGATGAAACCAACGGGAAATGTTATATCGGTCAAAAACAAGTTACACGTGTCCCGGCGTTGCGCTGGGTCACGTCTAGGAATCGAGATATATATATAACTATCATATAGGGGAAAGTGTCACCTTTGGTGGTCTTTTTTTGACATAACTCGAGAACCACTAGTCCGATTTTGCTCAAACAAATTTAAAAAAATTAAAAATTACAATTCCTTTAATCTGTTCATATAACGTTTTTCTATATAATCAACAGTTTTGCCGGTAAAAATAAATGTATGAAGAAAAAAAATATTTTTTGCCTAAAATATTAAATTTTTTTAAAATTGTTGATTATATAGAAAAACCTTATATGAACAGATTAAAGGAATTGTAATTTTCAATTTTTTTAAATTTGTTTGAGCAAAATCGGACTAGTGGTTCTCGAGTTATGTCAAAAAAAGACCACCAAAGGTGACAATTTCCCCTATATGATAGTTATATATATATCTCGATTCCTACGAAAAGCGAAACGCCGGGACACGTATAACTTCTTTTTTACCGATATAACTTTCCCCGGTAGTTTTAACCCTTCCCGATCACTGACCCCTACCATTTGTCTCAGTGTTATTGATAGCAATCGAACTTCAGTTGCGTTGCTAGTTGCCAAAACGATAGCCCTGTTCGCATTCCCACGACAGCCGGTTCTACGTACCGGAATGACTCGGGTTTTACCCGACCAAGGGCTGTTGTTTCGGCGATCTAACCCCGTCTAGATCGGCGATACCCACCAATCATTATTCGTCCATGGAGCAATACCTTGCAGCCGGATTGCTCCGCATCCTTCTTCTCCGGGCGGGCGTAGAGCCCAACCTCGGACCAGAAATTTACTTCTGCTGTGTTTGCCAGAATCGACTCCACCTGAACTCCACTTCGGTTAGGTGCAACTCCTGCAACGGATGGAGTCACCTAAGAACCTGTTCTGGCCTTAGGTCTCACCGGGAGTGGACCACAAACTTTGTGGCGCCCTGTTGCTCAAGCCAAATGGCACAATCAGCCTCCACGGCTACCCACTCGCGTAATGCACGGGTGCGGCCTAGCACCCGAAGAGCCTGCACGGCCCCCAGAAGCTCTCCTGAGCAACAGCAAACCTCCCAACACACCCCACCCACACAACCTACCGGCCGGTCCCACTCGCGAGCGCGAGCCAACCAGCAGCTACTGGTTGCCAACACCATATGCTCCGTGTGCCAGAACAGAATATACCGGAATGTGACTTCAGTCAAATGCAACACATGCCTTGGCTGGTGCCACTTCCGGCTATGCTCTGGTCTACGCACCACTCGCGATTGGACTACCAACTACAGTGCCCCTTGCTGTAGTGCACCGCCGGCGCAGACAACAACGCCCACATCGCAGCCACCTACCATCAGGCTGCAACAGCAACTGCGTCAGGCGCAACATGCCCAAGGTAGGCCCCACACTTCCCTCACTCCCCGTATCGCGACCAGCCTCCCAAGGCATACGAACGTACTCCAACTCAACTGCAACGGACTCCAGAGCAAGATTGAGGAGATAGCAGTCTTCATGGGTCGGCACGGCATATTGATAGCTGCGGTCCAAGAAACGAAGTTGCACAGCAACTCAACTTTGTTGGGTTGCGCAGCCTACAATGTGCTCCGTAAAGATCGCGAGCGAGATAATGGTGGAGGATTAGCGTTCATTCTACACCACACAGTGCAGTATCGGCTAATCGAAGAAGACATCGACCCAAGGGACACTACCCTAGAATGTCAGGGCATAGCTGTCCAGTCAGGCGATGTCGAGCTCGAAATATTTAACGTGTACATACCCCCTGTCACCTGCTGCCCGGCTGGATATCTCCCTGACATAGGTGCGCTACTCAGAGGCGAAAACCGATTGGTAGTAGGTGACTTCAATGCGCACCACGATCTTTGGCAGTCAAGCCTGGCCAATGATCGGAGGGGAAACATTTTGGCTGAGCAGATAGACGATTCGTCATCCTGCACCATGAACGACGACGCCCCCACCTGGATTGTGGGCAGCTGCAGCAGCTCGCCAGACCTAACAATTGCTAGCGCTGGTCTGATAAATAGCGTATCATGGCGACCTATGCTAACGTTAGCATCAGACCACCGACTTTGCTCCCGCGGATCACCGAACCTACACCAACTTCAACAAAGCTGATTGGAACGGCTTCGCGGAAGTTATCGAGAGCAGCTTCGCCGCCCTCCCCACACCCACAGACGTACATGCTGGCGAACGCCAGTTCCGCAGGGTAATCACTGCCGCAGCAGCTCGCTTCATACCGTCCGGACGTATCGCGGAAGTCCGCCCAAATTTCCCGGCTGAAGCAGCTGTACTAGCAAATGAGCGTGACCACCTACGCCAGGTCGACCCCGGGGACCCTCGCTTGAAGGACCTTAATTTGGAGATTCGGCAACTGGTAAATCAACATAAGCGGAAAAAGTGGGAAGAGCACTTGAAGGCCTGTAACTTCACCTCTGATGTGAGTAAGCTCTGGTCAACCGTGAGGTCCTTGTACAAACCGACGAAGCGTGATAACAGAGTGGAAATCTCATTCGAAGGTCACGCTTCTTCGAGTGACCAGGAGGCTGCACAAACTGCCCAAAAACAGTGCACCACTTGCCTTCACCAGCGGTGAAGTGAAGGGGGTCATCGGGAAGGCGAAAGCCTCCAAAGCCATTGGACTCGACGGAATCTGTATGCTGATGTTGAAACATTTGGGGCCTGTGGGAGTAGCATACCTCACGGAGGTCCTCAATTTGTCTATGACCACTCTCATCATTCCTGATGTGTGGAAATCAGGGAGAGTGGTCTTACTGCTGAAACCGGGGAAGCCCGCCAACAGAGGAGACTCTTATCGCCCGATAACGCTCCTTTCCCCGGTCGCGAAGACACTTGAGGCCCTGCTGCTCCCATACTTCACCTGCCACCTAACCCCAGCTAAACAACAGCATGGCTTCCGTAAAGTGCACAGCACAACTACAGCACTTAACGCCATAAACACCCAGATAACTCGTGGCCTAAATCGTAACCGCCCCTGTGAGAGAACTGTCCTAGTAGCGTTGGACTTGTCAAAGGCGTTTGACACCGTCTGCCATTCCACGCTGCTAGAAGACATTGAGACCTCCTCTCTCCCACAGGGACTGAAGCGATGGTCGGCGAATTATATGAGTGGTCGACAATCATCAGTTATCTTCAGAGATCAAACCTCGAAACCAAGAAGAATAAAACAAGGGGTTCCACAAGGTGGTGTTCTCTCCCCCTTACTTTTTAACTTCTACATCTCGAAACTCCCCCAGCCTCCTGAAGGAGTTTCCCTGATCTCGTACGCTGATGATTGTTCGATTTGGCGTCTGGGAATGGAATTGATGACCTCTGCTCAAAAGTAAACGGCTATCTCTCCAGCCTTTCTCGCTTCTTCACTGCAAGGAGCCTAACCCTCTCCCCAACGAAATCAACGGCGACCCTCTTCACCACCTGGACGAAGGAGGTCAGGCTAGAATTAGGCATTCACATCGACGGCACACCTATACCGACGGTGAACAACCCAAAAATTTTAGGGGTTACCTTTGATAGCCTGCTCTCCTTCTCCGCGCACACAACCGCAGTTGTCAACAAAGTACAGAGCCGCAACAAGGTCCTCTAGTCGCTCGCCGGCAGCACTTGGGCAAAGACAAAGAAACGTTGCTGGCAACATACAAGGCAATTGGCCGGCCGGTTCTAAATTATGCAGCGCCAGTTTGGTCGCCGGGGACTAGTTGGACGCAGTGGACGAAGCTACAGACTTGTCAGAACGCCGCACTCCGGACAGCGACTGGGTGCCTTCTGATGACGCCTGAGCACCACCTACACAGCGAGGCCCAAGTGCTCCCCGTAAGGGAACACAACAAAATGCTCTGTAAGCAGTTTCTGGTGGGGTGTCACAGAAGCGAACACCCCAACAGACCACTGCTGGAGGAGGAGCCTCCGCCCAGGCACGTCAGGGGGGCACCTATTCGTGTACAAGGACGCAGTCCAGACCCACACAGACCAACCACTGGACCCAATGACGTACAGACAAGCGATTAACGACATTCATAGGGAGTCAGTCTCCACCTACCTCGACTCCCGGCCTAAGAATGTCGTTATCGGAGCCCAATCACCACCTGTGGAAGAGACGGAGCTTCAACTACCTAGAGAGACCCGCGTTACCCTGGCTCAGTTACGGTCTGGATATTGTAGCCGCCTAAACAGCTACGTGTCCAGACTCGACCCAAACATCCCAAATGAGTGCCCGGCATGTGGAGACTCCCCCCACGACACCAACCACCTCTTCACATGCCAAATCAATCCGACTCAACTAACACCCCTCTCCCTTTGGTCCGACCCCATCGAAACAGCTCGTTTCCTGGGCCTACCGTTAGTTGAGCTTGACGATAATGATTAAAAGTTGACCCGAAACAGGCGGGGCTTAGTAGTGCCGCTACAACAACAACAACATAGCCCTGTTCGCGTTCGCACTATCCAGTAAATCCAGTACTAATTTTACTGATTTTTTACTGGATGTCGTTTTCGTACGCATAAACTTGCAAGGAACTAGCAAAAGAGGGGAAATTGAGAGAGCAAAAATGACAGCTGAACTTGCAAGTTTTACTGGATTTTTACTAGCAACTATTTGCTAGAAAAACAGCTTCTCATAAAAATACAATCGCCGTTCGGAGTCGGCGTAAAACTGTAGGTCCCTTCGCCTTGTGTGACAATATCAAGGCGTACGCCACAAGTCGGAGGAGAAGCTCGGCCAAACACTAACATATGTGTAAGCGCCAATCTATTATTATTATTATTATTTGCTAGTAAGAAAAACAGCTGATGGCATGATGCTTAATGTTATTCACATTGTTTGTGGTGCCTTTAGAGTTGCAATTGACAAAGTAAACCTATTTAAATTTATAATAAGATGGAAAATACTAGTTTTCTAAGAAAATTGCATCGGAAAATAAATTAATCAGCTGTTCCTAAAACTAGAAACTTCTTGCTGGTTTTGCGTTTTCGTACTTTCTTGCATATTTCACTCATTGGGAGTAAATATTGGCTTACTCTCCGAAATTTGGTTACTGGCAAGTTACTGGATATTTTTGGCTGCAGAATACGAAAACACAACTGATTTGTGGTTGCTGGGAATGTTTATGGAGCGTATTTAGAAGCGAAAATTGAAAAGTGTGTCATATATTTTACTTTTTAATGATTTCAACGATATTAACATTCTGCAATGCTTTTACAGAATATGGTGAAAATAACAAAACAATAACTTGAAATTTTAGTTCCGGTGGAGTACGCCCTTTTGGCGAAACAAAAGCGAACACAGTGTAACATTGTATAAAATAATTTCATTTAGATAATTTTCGGAGTCGGTAATGCAACCCTGTTCCTACTAGTCTAACCCTTAACGGCGCCGTGTTGCAGATCTGCAACATACTCAAGATTCTCCCGCTAAAATAGTACCAAATTTAATATTGACGCCAAGCGCATTGTTGCATATCAGTAACAAAGCGAACAGCCCATTTCTAACAGTACTTAGCAAAACCAGTCAGATTTTTGTTCTCAGTTCTTATTGAAAGGTGATTTTTTGTTGTGAGAAAAGCTCCTGGCAAACATACGGTTTTGCATTTTAGTATTTAAAAAAAGTGACAAGATTGGCCATAAGCAATAATAACTTGCGGAAGGTAAGACATTATTTGGCTGAAAAACGAACTGTTTATGTGCGTAATTTGTTGTGTGATATATGTAGCGTTAAATTTTGATTTGTTGCAGATCTGCGCTTATCACATCGATTAGCAACTGAAAATGGCGTCCCTTACAGACGTTGAAATAGAACGAATTTTAGAGGATCTGGGTTGCGAAAGTGAGAATGGAATGGATTTTTCAGACGACGACGATGTTATTCCTCCAGAAATAAGTGCACTTCCGTTGTCAGTTGAAGAAGAATTTAGTGGTAATGGTAATGATATCTCTGTTATAACGGGCATCAGCTCAACAGCAAAGGGCGGTACCAAGAAATGTAAACCTGAGAAAGTAAATATTAGCTACAGAAATTAGTAGTTAGTTTTTTAAGAATTTGGGTTCTATTTTTTGCAGCTGAGTGTGAAATGGAAGACCAAAGCTCTTAATTTAAGTTCCGAGCAAATTTATTTCCGTGGCAGTACAAACTTGTCGAATGACATTTTGGGACTGGATACACCTTTCCAAGTGTTCCAATAACTGTTCCCAGATGAAATAGTGGACTACATTAGAGATCAGTCTAACATATACAGCACAGAAAAAATTTAAATAAGCCCTTAAACACTACAAATATCGAAATAAGGCAATTTATTGGTATTCTCTACTACATGTCCATCGTAGAAATGCCGAATGCCGGTATGTATTGGTCAGAGAAGTTCGGCTACGCTCCTGTAAAAGAGATTTTGTCTCAAAAAATATTTGCACAAAATCGCCAAATGTTACACCTGAACGAAAACAGCAATATGTTAAATAAGGATCACCTTGATTTTGACCGATTATTCAAAATAACGCCACTGTTAGACATGCTGAACTCAAGTTTTGGAAAAATTCCGTTAGAGGCGCAGTTATCAATTGACAAGCAAATATGTTCTACAAAGGCACGTCACCACCTGAAGTAGTACCTTCCCGATAAACCGCATAAGTGGGGCTATAAATTATTCGTCATGTCTGGTGTGAGTGGCTTTGTCACAAATTTGAGGTATACAGTGGCCAAGAAAATATTGTCGCTGACGATGAACCCGACCTAGGTGCGTCTGTCAATGTGGTTGTTCGACTTTCAAGAAGTGTGCCTTCCAATGAGAACTACCGCATTTTCTTTAATACTTACTACACGTCCTTGCCGTTGACTGAATACTTGGCAAAACGAGGAATACTGAGCTTGGGAAACATTAGAAGAAATCGCATACCCAATTGCAAGTTACCGGAGGAAAAGATTTCCAAGAAAGAGTACCGCGGGACATCTGTCGAACAGGTGGGTGACATCAATGGAACGGACATCTCCGTTGTTTCATAGAGGGACAACAAAGTGGCCACATTAGCATCCAACTTCGCGGGAAAAGTCGCAGTATCTTCGGTGCATAGATATGATAAATCCAAGAAAAACAGAAAAGCAGGGAACGCTAAAAAGGAAAAGTACCCTACAAAGCCAAATAGAAGAAAAAAAGAAAAAAGGTCCTTGTCAATACATTCCGCCGAAAGATGTTCGGCAAGATCAGCTAGGACATTGGCCTGCTTGGGCAGAAAAAAGAATAAGGTGCAAGCTACCAAACTGCAAAGGATACACGCAAACAATTTGCGAAAAATGTGGCGTGGGCTTATGCTATAACAAAAGTAACAATTGCTTCAAGCAATTTCATATTCATTGAATTTTCTGAAATAAAGCGCAATGTTGCATATCTGCAACATACTTATTTTATTGAATAAAATATAAAAAAAAATCAAATTAAATTTTTGTTATCATTTCCTTTCTATAAATAGTATTTAAAATCGTTTGAAACAGGTTTTTCAAAAAAAAAAAAGAACTTGCGCCGTAAAGGGCTAAGTAAATTATGTAATGCAACCCTGTAAAGAAAATGAATAAAGAGAAAAAGAGGAAGATGGCGGGCACTTCCTTTTGGGCGAAATAAAGAGACGCGAAATTGAATCCGCGGTAATCCGCCTGCTAACAACCAAATCAACAAGGCATTTACAGCTCAGGTATTGGGATATTACCCCGATCATCGAATATCATCAATAGTTGCCAATAATCATGGAAAATGGCCAACCCACGTGAGGATATAACTAAGGCCTTACAACAAGCTGGTGTGGCGTTCCCACCCTCAGCCACGACACAACAGCTACGTAAAATTCTCGTGGGTGATAATAGGAACACCACTACCCTTGCCGATACCGTTGATGCCGCATTTACTGCCTCAACCAACACCGCCGGCACCATCGCCGACATTGCCGTCACCGCTGCCACCAACGCTGCCATCACTACCGCCTACACCACCGCCATCACTACCGCCTACACCGCTGCCTTCACTACCGCCGCTGCCGCCACCGCTGATTCCGCCGCCACCACCACCGCTAATACCGCCTATTCCACTGCCGATACCGCCATCTCTATCGCCAATAACACTGCGGCTCTGGTATCAGAGAATGCCTCCGAAATAGCCAGGTCCGTACTCACTGAACTAGACGCAGAAGTGACGGCCCTTAGGAAGCGCTTGGAAATACTGACGCTACGCAGACAGAAGAACTGGAGCGCCCTCCTAATAGTAGACGACAAGGTCGCCCGGAATTCGGCGATATTGAGCAGGCTCTGCCTAAATTTAATGGCGACGACGTAACCTGTCCCGTTCACCATTTTCTGCGCGATTTTGAGGAAATAATGGAGTCCTCAGGTGCTGACGACAATTTTCGCTTGCTCTGACAGGTCTCTAACAGGTACAGCGCGGGTATTTTTATCGACCACGGGCGCCTTAAATTACCTGGCGCTAAAAACGGCGCCATCAGGCGAATTCGACGTGGGAATTACAAGGCAAGAAGTAAACAAAATGCTGTCGCAGCGCCGCTGGAAGAGGAAAGAGGAGACGCTCCACTGCTACACGCTAACGATGCAGGCCATTGCGAAGCGTGCCAATATCGCCGATACGGAGTTGATAGACTTCATAATAGACGGCATCGGGAACACTACCCCGCATGCCCACATCCTGATCACGGCACGAAGCGTAGAGGAATTAAAAACCCTTAACCAGCGGCAGATAACGGCGCCAAAACAAACCGACGATACGAAGCTGAAGCGTTTCAACTGCTCCCGGAACGGGCACATAAAACCAAAATGCCCGTTCCCACTAAGACCGGATGGTTCCTACTTCATGTACTGGAAGATGGGCCACGACCATCGCTCATGCCCAAATCCAGCAAAACTGAAAAGGCGCGAAGTAGCCACTGTTGCCGAGGATGAAGACGACCAACTAGGTGCAATCGGCGCTTTTAACTCTGTGAGTATAGCTTTTAAGACACTTGCGGTTCCAATTACTTATAAGGTACCCTCTCTTTTCGATACTGGCAGTCCGATTAGCTTTGTAAAGGCATCACTGGTCCCAAACCAACTAGGGAAAAAAACATATGGTTAATAAAGGCCCCAGTTATAAAGGCATCGGTGATACACTTGACGACTGACGTACCTTTCCATTGCGCGCCCCGACGACTTTCTTACGCTGAGAGAAACCAAGTACAAACTATCATTAACGAACTCTGCCGAGATGGAATAATGGGGCCGAGCGATTCACCTCATGCGTCAGCAATAGTGCTGGTTAAAAAGAAGAACGGAAAGGTCCGAATGTGTGTAGATTACCGAGCATTAAACATATTGACTGTTAGGGATAATTACCCTCTGCCGCTAATCGATGACTGCATAGAATATCTGGAAAACAAACGTTTCTTTTCCGTATTAGACTTAAAAAGTGGTTTTCACCAAGTTCAGATGGCACCTGAATCAATTCCCCTTACCGCCTTCGTGACCCCTAATGGTCAATATGAATATTTGAAGATGCCGTTCGGACTGAAGAACGCTCCCGCTGTATTTCAGCGTTTCATTAACAACATCTTCCGGGAAATGATCGATAGCAGAAAAGTCATCATTTACATGGATGACATCATCGTTGCGACCGAAAATTTTGATGAACACAAAGACCTGCTAAAATTAGTATTAGAGAGACTTACCTTTAGAGCTTTGGAACTTAACTTAGATAAATGCAGGTTTGGGTATGATGAAATCAATTATTTAGGATATGTGGTGTCACATTCAGGTATATTACCCATAGCATACAAAATTTCCCGATTCCACCGAATGCAAAGCAACTACAATCCTGCCTTGGCATGTTCTCATATTTCCGCAGATTTGTACCGTCCTTTTCGCAAATTGCAAAACCATTACAAAACTTGCTTAAAAGAAACTCACCATTTGACTGACGAGAAATGCCTTGATGCATTCACCGAACTTAAGTCCCGCCTTGTTAAAAGCCCCGTGCTGGCTATATTCAACCCACTTCGGGAGACGGAACTCCATTGTGACGCCAGTAGTGTAGTTTTCGGTGCAGTATTGCTGCAACGCCAAGACGATAGTAAGTTCCACCCCGTCTCGTACTTCTCCAAAACTGCCTCAAGTGCCGAGTCGAAATATCATAGTTTTGAACTGGAGGCATTGTCCATTATATATGCACTTAGGAGGTTTAGGACATATCTAGAAGGCATACGCTTCACCATAATAACCGACTGTAACTCATTGACGATGACACTCGAAAGAAAACAACTGAACCCCCGGATAGCTAGGTGGGCTCTTGAGCTCGAAAATTATAATTATAAAATAAAACATAGAAAAGGTGCTTCAATGGGTCATGTTGATGCCCTCAGTAGGAGGCAGATATCGCTAATTGTAAACACGGATGACGTGGAGTTCCAAGTACAGGTTGCCCAGAGCGGGATAAAAATATTATCTTGGTAAACGGATTGATATACAAGAAGAAGAATGACGGTAAGATAGCTCTGTATGTACCCAACGAAATGGAGCACAACGTGATACAGGTAATTCACGAGAGGATGGGTCACTTATCAGTGGAGAAGACCCTTAGTAAGCTGAAGCTATATACTGGTTTCCAAACATGCGACCGAAAGTAGAAAAGTACGTTAGGAATTGCCTGAAGTGCATAATGTACGCCACTCCGCCTCATGCAGAAGAAAGAACTCTTCACGTTATCCCAAAAACCCCTTTGCCGTTTGACACTATCCACGTAGATCACTTTGGACCACTGCCGTCAATTAGGTGAAAGCGTAAGCATATTTTAGTTGTTGTTGACGCATTCACTAAATATTTCAAGCTTTGTCCAGCTAATTCAACTAGTACTCGAGAAGTCACGGCGGCCCTCGACAAGTATTTTAGCGCTATTATAGTAGGCCGAGACGAATCATCAGCGATAGAGGCACTTGTTTCACTTCTCTCAGAGTTAAGTTCATTTTTATTGAGACGAAATGTAGGGCATGTGAAGGTTGCCGTGGCATCCCCACAAGCCAATGGACAGGTGGAGAGAGTGAATAGGATACTAAAATCCATGTTGGGGAAGTTGACGGACCCTATTAACCATGATGACTGGGTTAAAAAATTACTTGAAGTCGAATACGCTATTAATAATTCGGTGCACAGTACTTGCCGTGATACCCCGAGCCGACGAGGGGTGATATTTAACGAATTTACGGAATACTTCCAGGAAAAACTATGCCCGGACGAAGGACGAGACTTGGACCGCCTACGTAAGGACGCATCCGACTCGATCACTGCAAGACAAGAGTACGATTCCGCGCGAAGAGTAACCGCCAAAGTAAGGCATATGACGTAGGAGACTTTGTAGTCGTGAGAAATGTCGACACTTCTACAGGAAGTAACAAAAAATTCGTGCCTCAATACAAGGGACCGTACGTATTGCATAAGGTTCTAGGGAATGATAGGTACGTCGTCCGCGACATAAATAATTGCCAGCTTACGCAACTTCCCTATGACGGTATGATCGAGGCCCATCGAATGAGAACGTGGCGGCAGCTACCGGAAGTGTGCGTTGAGAATACAGATCAGGACCCATTAGCGATTAGTTGAGTGATTTTATTCTGATCGAGGCCGATCATGTGTCAGGTTTGGCCGAGTTGTAACATTGTATAAAATAATTTCATTTAGTTAATTTTCGGAGTCGGTAATGCAACCCTGTTCCTACTGGTCTAAGTAAATTATGTAATGCAACCCTGTAAAGAAAATTAATAAAGAGAAAAGGAGGAAGATGGCGGGCACTTCCTTTTGGGCGAAATAAAAAGAAACACGTATTTTATTAACGCGAAATTGAATCCGCGGTAATCCGCCTGCTAACTACCAAATCAACAAAGAATTTACAACAGATTGCAAATATTTTCCTTTATCAACTGAAGCACCTCTTTTAAAACTACCGACACACCAGGTCTTCCAAATTGAAGTCTTTGCGGTGCCACTTCCTTCTGCGAAAAAATCGAAGAGGTGCGCAAGCTTTTATGAGCGGAGGTATTGAAGTTGAACGAAGTGGTTCATTTGTTTATTAACCAATTATATTACAGTTTTATTTGGAAGTCCTCAATTTGCTTTGAAAATGAACACAAAACGATAATAAAAGAAAAACTTTGAAAGCATTAACTTTTGCTTACAGTGCACGCGGTAGCTCTAGAGCACAGCTGGGCAGTGTCTGTCCGGGGGGCGACTGCGTGGCGAATTCGCGTATACATGCTCTGCTTGGGAAGACAGCGAAAGCTTCACACGACTTGTTCGCACGCACACAGTGACATCAATTGCACGCACACTACAAAAATGCTCTGCCGAAGCTGCCCACCTCTGCTCTAGAGGATTGGAATTATCCTTTAAATATCGC